CCTTTTGTGGGCCATGCAGGGGTAAAATTTAGAGAAGGATGTTGCCATTTCTTGACTCACCCTTTTGTGGGCAGGGTGAAATTTAGAGAAGGAAGTGGTCACCCCAACTTGACTCACCCTTTTGTGTGCAATGCAGGGCTAAAGTTTAGAGAGGGAAGTGGCTATGCCAAGTTCACTCACCCTTTTGTGATGCAGGGGTAAATTGCCATTTCAACTTGACTGACCCTTTTGTGGGCCATGCAGGGGTAAAAATTAAAGAAGGATGTTGCCCTTCCAAGTTGACTCACCCTTTGGTGAGCCACCCGAGGGTAAAATTTAGAGAAGGATGTTGCCATTTCAACTTGACTCACGCACTCACTTTTGCCGATTTGATCTTGATACTCACACCCTGCCTCTACACTTTTCGAACAGGAGGCCGATTCTACCACTCGATGTGTCTTACTCCTGTGCATAGATTTCCTGACTTTCGTTTGGCTCTGTATAATTCATTGCATGTTTTTTCCGAGCGCTCGTGGGGGGGAGGCGCTGCGCCCTCCCCCCCAACCCCCCTTCCGCGCAACGAAATCTGCAGATAGTATTCAACGTCCCTGCCATGAAATCAGGCTTTTAGTGGAACCTTGGTAAACCTTGCCCACCAAATCTGCAAATGCTATTCAAAAGTCTTGCGACGAAATCTGACTGTAAGCGGAACCTTGCCTGTTGAACATTAAAGCTGCTGTTATTCTAGACAAAAAGCCAATCAGCCAGGAACCAACAACTTAGTATGACACACAGGAAGATTTGAGCGGAAACTTGACTTTTAAAAACTAAAGCTGCTGCTGCTGTAAAAAAGAGGCCAGAAAGCCAGGAAGAGACAGGAAACGTGATTTAATCCCCCTCCCCCAACCCGCCCCTGTGCCACAAGATTCCTGCCACGAATTTCGACTCTGAGCGGAAACTGCCTGTTAGCCAGGAGGCCAGGCAGGAGGAAAGAGATTAGTATACAGGCCGACGCCCAGCCCAAAGAGGGTTCGTGGTAGAATTTTTTTTTGACTAAGTAATTAGTTTTTTATTGATCCCCTTGAATATTTTTTTATTGATGCGATAAATAGTTTTTTTTGATACTTCACCCTCCTGTTCATCCTCGGTCTTCTCGGTCTTGCTTTAACAGGGTTGAAGTGAAGGAAGGGCAGCTTTTTCGAGTAGGAGGACTTCTCGCGAAAGGAACGTGCAGTCTTACTGTAAGTCAGTCATTCAACAAGGTTTGGACATCCGCCATGCCCGCAGATGGGAATCCAGGAAGACCCGGTCTTGCTGTTCCAACCCGAAAAAGGACCACGACGGGCCTTCCAGGCCGTGCCGCCGCCCCTCCGCCGCTTTGCTCCGCTCCCAGGCGCCGAGCGAAGCAGCGACGCTGGCGCAGACGCCGCTGCTGAAGGCGGCGCTGGTGGTGTGCCACGAAGCCCTACGCTCGGTGCAGGCGCTGCCACGTCCCAAGTGGCTGATCATTGGGGCCATGGGTCGGAGGGTGCAGGCAGACCTATGTTCCTATATGTTCCCTTATGTTTTTGTCCGCGTATGATTTTTTGGGCACACTCTGTTGCTGTTGGCTGAATGCTCGTTGGAACAATCAAACCACTTGACGTTCAGGCTGGGGATTTGTTCCTTCTTTGCCTGTGAATCGATGGGCAAGTTCTTCGTCAGGTGGATGGGTTTGACCAAGCCTCCAGCCGGCCGAGCTGCAGAAAGGTGTTAAGAGGGAGACCCCCAGCCAATGGGGCACCTGTCGCTTCGCTTGCAGGGCAGTGCAGCACACCCAGGAGCAGCGAACAACCTCTGCAGCTTTGTGAACTGTCCAGGCCGGAAATTAGATGAGTCTTAGGGTTGCCAAACGGGCACACACACACACACAGAGTGCATATAGCACACACAGAGCACCCACAACCACACAGAGCACACACACACACGCTCTTCGATTTTTGGGTTCAGATTCGGATATGTGGACATCAAGGTGGATATAACAATTTATGAAGATCAACCATGGCCCATGCTGTGCAGAAGCGCTTGTTTTTGCTCCTCTTTCAAGTGCCAGCGGAGTTCATCTCTCTGACGAGAGCGTTCGTCTCCGCACCGACGCAACGGGTCCGGTGATTCACAGTGGGATGGGACGTACCGATTTGTACACGGTGTACCGTAAGAAAAAGACTAGCGATACCTGGGTCTGTCCCTTCTTACCTGCAACAGTCAGTAAACAATGATCAGTGATAACAAGGCCTTTACTAACCATCATCATCCACTGTTACTGGTAATAGGATAGACCCAACCGATACCCTTCATATTATGATTATATATTTCTGGTTCATACCCATGTTAGGCTGATTCCGGATTTCCTTCAGGTCTGTTCCCGGAGTCCCCCCTCCTCCCCTCGAAAGCGAACCAAAAACCCTAGGCCGCGGCGTTGTGCTCGTTGTCCGGTTGAAACCTCCGCTCAGCCCGCTCGAGGCTGCCGCTGCTCGCCCGCCACGCTGCAACATCTGGAGGTTGCCCGGGTGGAAGGTCTCAAGGCGAGGGGGACGAAGTCACAGTCTGGGCGTGGGTGGACTCGTAGGAGCCTCCAGGTCAAACCCCCTGGTAAAGAGGCAAGGGTATAGTAGACCCAAGCCCAGGCCAAGATGGACTTCTTCAATTTTGGAGAAGTGGACCATGCTTGGAAGATGGGAAAGTCAGCTTTCTTTCAGTGTGGGATTTGTCTGACCTGACTGAAACTCTCCTGTCCTGCCCTTCGAGACGAGAGAGGTGAACATCGTGCCAATCGGCGCCTTCCAGAACCACCGCGAACATCCAACGAGCACCACAGAAAGGTGTCCCCTCATCGCCCCGAAAAAATGGAGTGCGAAACGGGGTGTCAATGTCTAGCACCGAAGGGGGGGCCAGGGTTGGAGCACGAAATCGCTGGCCGAAGGGGCCAAAGGGAAGCGTTTGGTGCGACGGTTCGGTTCGGATGTTTGTGAGGGGTGTGAGTTGAAAGGGTGGACGGATAGGGATGTGGGACATGTTGCTTTTGAGCTCTGGTTGCGTTGATTCATGTTTGCTTGATACAGGGCTGTGAACCAGTTTAAAGACAGGAGTTGGTAGGGTCTCACCCCGGTTTCTTTGCCGGTTTCTGTTCTCCGCCTTGCTTCTTGGGCAGGTTCTACGGCGAAAAGCGATCGAGCAACAGAAGCGACTGGTGGTGGTCTTCGCCTCACAGGAAGTGCTGGAAGCCATCGCGCTGCTCATTGGTGCTGATTTGAGTGGCAAGGCAGCGCGGCAGGATGTGGGGCCCTGTGGCCGTTCATAGATTTGAGTTGCTGTTGCATGACTTTGGCCCAGCCCTTTTGATGGGGAAGTAGTCCCTTCCACCCGGGTTGTTGGTGCAAGCAAGACCCCTCTCCAAACAAGTGGAAGTAGACTTCCGAACAGAGCACCAGGGCCTGACGAACTCATCGGATCGCCATCTCTGCACCTTTTGGAATCAACCTCCCCAACTCCCCAAAGCCCCTGGGGTGCTGCGTCCACTGCGTCCAGGTCTCGGAGGTGGTGGCGCTCGGCCGGGCCGTGGCGCCCGCGGCGGGCGTGCCGCTGCTGCGCGGCGCCGCCACCGCACTGCTGCACGAGCAGCTCGTGGCGCTGCCGCAGTGGGCCGCGGCCGCGGGGAGCTTCGGCGTGGAAGGGTGGGAGCGGTGCTGGCGGGCAGAATCGACAGGAGGTTGGGGCCCTCCTCAACAATGGCCATCCTGGACAGACAATTGAGTGATTATTATTTTTCCTTTAGAGATGCCAGGCTGTGCAGGAGTTGGCTCATTAACTGTACTCCTTGAAACCTTTTTGGACATCCATAGAAGAAGAGCCCCCAGTCGGCATGTGAACTCGTATCCTGTGGGATGCTCCGCCGTTCTCTGGCAAAGCCATGGCTTTCACCGCGTTGCACAGTGTTGGAGTTTTCTTTGACCGACACCGCTCAAACCTTGGGCGCACCTCAAGCCAGGTAAGACAGGACAGTGACAAATCCCACCTCTTGGATTTGGAGTGACCCGATGCCGTACCTGCCGGCCTTCCCTGGCGCACCTCGGCGACCGAGATCGACAGATTTGCTGGCCGCTTGGGAGGTGCGACGTTTGCTGCAGCAGAGCCTGGTGGTCCGCAGCTTAGGAGCCAAAAGCGGCGAAGTGATCCTGCAAGCTGACGGGATTCGACGGGTATGAGCATGCATGCATGGCGAAGGAGCGGGGATGAACTCACCCCACCCAGGGAGAGATGGTGTTGTCCTCACGTCTGGAGGTCGCACGGATGTCATGAGGTCGCCTACCAGACATTGCTGGAGCCTGCGAAAGTGCTGGTTCAGTTTCGTCTGGAGATGGAGGCAGTTCCTGATCCAGGCCCAACGGCTGCAGTAAGGACTTAGGGAAGCGGTTTCCGAATAAGGTAGACCCTTGATTCCTCCCGATTGAATGGAACATCCTCTTCATATGGGGGGTGTATCAACCAAGAGTCTACATTAAGTTCTACATTATGGAATCCTTTGGGGCCTTGAGTTTCATCATCTTTCATCATACTTCCTGTCCCACGGGGTTCGGAGCCAGACTGACTGCATATATCCTTGTTTTGGAACATCGACTTCCAGGCACCAAAAACCACCTCTTAGTGGATCTGATAAATCCCTACTCTCCCAAGACGTGCGCTCTTTGCGCACGCCCGCCACCGACACACGGACTCGGCCTTCCACCGGGAGTTCGGTCTTGCGAGGCGATGCGGGTTCGCGGTGTTCTCCGGAACGGATGGGTCGATGCCGCCCGGCTGGAAAGCAGGTTTGGGCTTGGAAAGACTCTCCCAAATCCTGCATGTCCAGATCCATCGGCCTGAAGATGCACCAGGGGGGATAGTGGGGTTGGGGTAAATGCTTTTTTGTGCATTTTGGACTCATATGTGCCATGGTCGAACTTGGGGTTGCTGGGTTGCTTCCCTAAAACTAGACAGGTCATCCATCTCTCAACAGTCCCATTGCAATCCCAATAGAAACCCTTGGTCAGGGACAGATGACCTCCCAACACCGGCGTCTTTTCTTATTTTTTTGAAGAAGGGTCAGACTGTGCACCGGTGACTCACCACCAGTGCCCTCCCTCATGTGGACTTGATGAAAAAGAACAAAACAGCAAAGATGCAGAACCGAGACTTTCTTTTCTTCACTCATGGATTCATCAGTCAACCGGAGTTTTCTTGGATCTGCATGCGGCGCGGGTCAGGCTCTGTGCCAGCCGCGGCGGGCGCCGCCCCGGCGGCGCTTCCCGAGCGTCCTGCGGAGCGTGCGGAGGTTCCACGCCTGGCGCTGGCGGTGCGGCCGACGGTGACAGTGAAGCTCAGAAGAAGTTGGAAGAGATTCTTCCTTTTGGGTTCTCATTTTGGAACGGATTCCTGGCTTAGCTTTGGATTGGCAAAATAGAAATTCCCACTCACAAAAAACGTGGAAAGGGGGAAACACCACCCTTGTTTGGTAGAGGGATCCGCGTTTTCTGGACATTTCTACTTCATGTTGCTAGTCAATCGAAGGGTATCCTATTCTCACTCCATGTTCGATTCGCTTGCAGAACCCAAATCAGGATGGTTGGCGAGCATATGCTGAAGGCTCAAGAGCTGCTGCGCGAGCTGGAGGCCCTGAGGGACGGCTGCGCGAGCTGGAGGTTTGATCCCGAAATGGCTCGGGTTGCGTGGCAGCGGGGCTGTGGGTTTTCTATGCGTTGGTGTATTTTGAGGGGCAGTTCTACATCACTGACAAGCGTGTTCGTTGCGCATGAGAGCATTGGATAAGAAGTGCTCCCACTTTTCCCACCTTGTGTGAGGGTGACTTCTGACAACTCTTGCTCAGGTTGTTGTGCTTTGAAATCATTTGGCTGCGAGACGCTGCGAGTATATGTCTCCAGTGCGATGATACCTCAGAAGTATCAATACTCATCTTTACATTGAGTGCGCTGAAAAGAAGCCAAGACATTGCTGAACATGTGACTTCTTGTTTGATCTACTCTTATTTTACTCAACGAAGCCCTGGATCAAACAACAAGAACAAGAACAAGAACAACAAGAACAACAAGAACAACAAGAACAACAATAACAACAACAACAACAACAACAACAACACCAGCAACGACAACAACGACAACAGCAACAGCAACAGCAACAGCAACAACAACAACAACAACAACAACAACCTCTGTTCAATGGCTGCGGTACTTATACTTTTGCAGCATAAGATACTCTCCATCATGGAAGCCTGAACACCCCTTTTGTACAGGAAAGATCACATACCATGGCATATCTGCATCTAACTTTCTGGAGGAATCCTTGAGGATTCCCAAAACCAGCACCTCCAGCGTTGTGCTGCCTCGGTACACGACCGGCTCCGGTGCACCCCACGGCCCGATGCAGGCGGGTGGCCTGCGGATTTTGGAGCGCAGCGTGCTGGCCGCCACGGCGCCCGATCTGCTGATGGGGCCGCAGGTGGCGAGTGCAGATGCGGAGAGCGATGCCGGGAGCGTGGCGGTTGTTCAGATGGCCATGCTTTTGGATCGCAACGTTTGGATTGGGGAAGAGAAGAAGAAGAATCCATTTCAACGGGTGTTCTTTGCATGCCTCAAGCACCGAATGTGAGATCCGCACTCTTGGCGGTGTTCTCTCTGTGAACTCAACTGTTCTTCGGGGTACATAGTACAAACCACAAGCCATCCGCGGTTGTTCGCCTTTTAATTTTAGCAGTGATAGCCAAGTTGTTCACCACTGACATGGTTCCTCAAAACGCAACGGAGATGTTGTTCTGCGATATGGCTCTATATGGTACCGGTACTGTTTTTGTTGTCATCGTCGGCTATGCCTGAGAATTCATCAACATTTACTCCTTTGGTAGCTTACAGTTGCATTGTATGGACTCTATCATGAGGCTATCCGCGTGGTGTAGGATTTTCTGGTAGTCGCCAGAGTCGCAAAGAGGACAACGACTGTCACATGCCAAGGAAGTCCAAGCTGAAAGAGGGGGGAGTGTTCCCAGCTGTGCAGGTCTGCTGCTTCCTGCGCAGTGCACACGTGATCACTCGACAGAAGCGAGAGCTATGTGTGGCCTGGTACTGACCGCCCGAGGGCAGGGAAGAAGCATATGAGAGAGCTCACCGTTGTGCAGCTGGCATGTTGGAGCAAGACGACTTGACTTGCGATCAATTCGACGAAGTCGGTGGAAGTCACGAGAAGGCATTGGGCCCTTTCCCTGATCCAAAAGCAAAACGGAACCAATTCCAAAAGAACACAGCCTTCTCTCCCCCAGCACTGCCAATGGTTCGGTTCATCACATCCGGATGTGACTGGGGCGGCACCTGGAGCCTTTCCGCTCTCGAGAAGGCACCCCTACCTCCACTTCTCGTTTGGCCAAGCTGAGGATCGTCTCTGGCGGGCCTTGACAGCCTTTGAGCAGGTCTTCTTCGTCTTGGCCATCGCCTCAGTGGGCGGAAGAAAACATCACGTCGTCTGCGCCGTCTGCGCCGAACGAGTTTCTATGTTTTCTTTCCTTTTCCGCAGCAACAGAACGAAGTGGATGGCTGGTGGGGAGTTGAAGAGGATGAAGCAGATGTTCACCCCCGGTCAGCAAGAGAATGACATCTTGAGCCCGGACCACATGAGAGGTTCGGGTTAGCGATCAAATGAAATGAATGTACAGTCGTGAATCATGATGAATGAAGCCAAACATCAAAGCACTCACTCAATTCACTCCTTGGATGAAAAGGCCCATTTTCTTTGCTGTGAGTCTCCGACCCCTGTCTCCGACCCGTCTCCGAGGTGCTCGAGTCTGGCCTTCAAGATCAAGGGATTTGTGAGGAGCCGACGACTGGACTTGTAGAGTGACAACTGGACGAAACAAAGGGTCAATTGGTCCAAAGTTGCCAAAGAAAATGAAGGTGACATCATTGAACCTAAACCTTTTTGTTTTGAAGCTCGTATGAGCGCAATTTTCTTATGCTCTCCGGGGCAACTAGTGATTTGGCCCAAGTCTCCGTTCCAAAATTTGCAAGCATGTTTGTTGGGATTTGTTTTCAGCCACCTCTTTGCTTGTTCTTGATTAAGACACGGCCGAACCTGGCTTGAGGAGCTATTTCAAATCTTACGTGCGCAAGAACACCCGCGAAAGAATTCTTTGCATGCCAGCATTTGGTCCAAACAGTGGAGGTCGAATCTTAATGATTGAAAACTGGAGGGAGTAAGTAAAAAGCTATTAGTAACAAGTGCATCGCTTCTAGGAACAAGTGCCTTACTAGTAGTAACAAGAACGCTATTAGGAAAGGTTTCATCACCAAAAACAGATCGTGAGTGGTCCTAATAGCTTCTTGTTACTACTAGTAAGGCACCTGTTACTAGTAGCGATGCACTTGTTCCTAATAGCTTATTGTTTCAGGTTCCTGAAAAGTCGCATCCGCATCATGCGATTCATGAGTTGCCGTGACGTGAAGATGAGATGGCACCAGCGTTCCGCTGCAGAAACGCCGAGGTACTGTTGCAAGTGAAGGACTTGCCACGTTGCTCGTGCGCGAGACCTTGCGCATCTCTGCCACGGGGCATGGCTTTTCCATCGAGCTCAAGGCCGCTGGGGGGCGTCCGAGAGTCGAATGGGGTTCGGGTGCCGTGAAAGGGGCCTCGGTGGAACCGGCTGCAAAATATGCCTCCTCCATGCCATGCTTCTTGAAACATCGGGACAGAAAAAGAGAGCCTGTGAAAAGGTCGCAGAGTTGTGCCGGTTTTGTTTGGTGCGGAGCCCAAGATCATTGACATTTCAGAGACAGATAGATAGATCATTTACTTTAGAACTCTTTATATAGAACCTGAACCCTTAGGCCCTAAGCCAGAACGCACAACTTCCTGTATCAACCGCCCATCCTCGCTTCCCAACAACTCCAAAGTTTGGAAACACCGGAGATGTTGGGCTGGGGGTGCCAGGAGGAGGAGCCTGAGGAGCTGCCCTTCTGGGCGGAGCTGCCGGGGCTCAACGCCGCGCTGGCCGAGCAGCTGCTAGCGCTACACCGCAAAGTGCCGGAACGATGTGGGGCGCGGGAGGTGAGCCAGATTTTAGGTGGCTGGGCTGGTGAAGAAGGGAGAACTCGGCAAGGGGATGGAGAGGGTTGAGGATGCTTGTGAAAACAGTATACAGTACTTAGTATACTTGTCCCAGGCTGCTGAATTTGCCAAGCTTTTGTTGAGGCCTTCGGCTCGAAGAGAAGGTCATAGAGGAGATGCAAGCAGCCCTTGATCTCAAGCGAGAGAGCACAGTGTGCAGAAGGCAAGAGCCAGGCCCAGCTGGTGAAGAATCAGAAACATGTGGCCAGAAACAAGTGGAGGGTGTGCTTTTCGCAGATTGCTTGAAGCTTTTGGGGGTATTTACGGGTTCCCCCTTCTCACCACCCATATGAAGAACCCCACCTTGCAAGCTGCCACTTTCGGAGCCCTTCGGACACTTGTACATTGTAGATCCAGACTTCGGTCCGTTTTTTGCCACGGATGGAATGTATTTTGCGTGAGTTCGAGAGCTGCTTTGGCAAAAAACTGCCGTGGGCGGTTTTCGCCGACTGTAAGATGGTATTTTGGGGATCTGTTCGGTGGTTCAGTGTCTCTGATTGATCGACATCAGAATTCCGGCAGAAGTACCTCTCGGGAGTCACATGGGATGAGCGACTGCAGGCAAGCCGTTCTCCTATCAGCTCACCGGAACGGTGGAGAAGCGGCCGACCGTGCCGCCTGCGCGGTGTGGCCGGACCGTGCCAGCCTTGGCCGGAGTTGCCGCGCTGGAGGATTCGGAGGTGGAGGTGCAAACTCCTCAGGCATGAAAGGGCATTTGGCAGGGGTCAGCAGCTTTGAGGTTTTGTTGAATCTGATTTGCTTTGATCATTTTCTATGGAAGATAAAAGGGGCTGCTGATCGGTGGATTGATGGACACATAACTATATACAATGCTTATATATTTATATGTATATATAATCATCCTCGAGTAGATAGAATACGGAATTGAGCCGCCAACGTACCTTCCGTCATTTCAATTCCATATTCTAAGTACCTCGTTTTGACCCCAAAAAAAAAGTACATAGAATATCTCCGGGCGGATCAAACGAGTACTTGGAATATCGTGGAATGGTCTGTGGAATGAATTGGTTTGATTGACTCCTTAACTGCATGTGTTTCTGCTTCAGCTGGTGGTTTTGTTTTTTTCTATCATCTTCTTGATCATTCTTAACCTTCAGAAACTGCCTTAAGACACCCTTGAACATCCTAGAATTTACCAATCTCAATGACATTGGTGAAGAATTAAGCTGTTCTTCACCAGTCAGTGAAATCCCTTGTTCCTTCTAGTCTCTCACTTCTAGCCCATCTGTTCCCAAACCTATCCAAAAAATATTGCAGCGCAAGAGGAAAGGATTTGTGATGTCGTGGTGCTAGTGGAATGCTTTCCAAACTGGAAAGGGGACAGGACAGCAAAAGAGAAGGAAACTCAAGACTCAATAGCAAAAGAAAATGTTGCTTTCCTGTCAAACTTTCTTCATCTTCTCAGATTTCCAATCCAAAAACTTAAAGAAAAATTATTTTTGGAGCAGGAACCAGCCACATCCGCAACCATCCTGGAGTAGATAGAATATGAACCAGTCCAGAAGCATGACCAGTTTTTCATTGGATTGAATTTTTCCAATATTCTATCTACTCCACATTACCAACCAAAAATGATGAATGAAAGAGAATGAATTAGATAAACACTTTAAAAACTGAAACATCAGGACATAGGATAATTTTGTTTTCTTCAAGAAAACTCTCTAGCACAATTCCTTCAGTTTCCCTTATTAAAACTCTATCAAAATCTCAAGTTTTTGAAGCTCACCAAGGGTACCCCTCACACACACACATATTCTTTCACAACATGGTTTGACAATTTCACTTTTCACAAGTGTCCTTCAAACAGACTCCAAACCTCAAGGGAAGACAGGAACTGAAGGAATCTGACCAGGAAA